CAGCCTCCTAGACTCCGTGGTTCCCGAGATATTAACTTACCCGTGAAAAACTTTCACAGGGCCGTAAGTGTTACCCGCGGGTAAAGGAAGACTGAGTTTGAATAGGCAAGGTTGAGCGTGGGCAGAGGGTCATTACCGTAAAATTTCAGCCTCCAAGACTACGTGGTTCCCGAAATATTAATTTACCCGTAAAAAATTTTCACGATGCAGTACGTGTTACCCGCGGGAAAGGGAAGGATGATTTTGAATGGGCAAGGTTGAGCGTGGGCAGGGAGTTATTACCCTAAAATTTCAGCCTCCTAGACTCCGTGGTTCCTGAGATATTGACTTACCCGTAAAAAATTTTCGCGGGCCCGTACGAGTTACCCGCGAGTACGGGAAGGCTGAATTTAAATTTGCCGCGTCACCCGTTGGCGGGGAACACTATACCAAAATTTCAGCCGCCTAGCTTTTGTGGTCCCCGAGTTGAAAGTTGCGGACAAGTTGCTGCGGGCACACACACACACACACACACAGACAGACAACCCCGTTACAATATGCGTTTTGTACTGCTGTTACACAGCATAAAACGCATAAAAAAACGGAAAAAAAGCGAAGTCATAGAATCGGAGTTTATAAATAAAAGTTGAAGAAAGCAAAATTAAATAAAAACTGAAAAAACCGAAGCAAAAAACAAAAGATTTAGCAAAAGGAAAACTTTTAGGTGGAAATTGCCTTATAAAAACCCGTTTGGGGTACTGAGCTTCCCTGTTTATTAAGCTGATGGCTAGGCAAAGCTGAGAGCTCTCAGTTTTACCTATGCAGCTTTACCTTATTCGCTGTCAACTTTACCTAAGCATCAACTTCATAAATGGAAAAGTCCTTTACTGATGAAAGGTCTTTCTTTTGCTTAAAGCTTGTTTGCAGTAGTGGACTCCCGTATTTGTGAAGCTGATGCTTAGGTAAAGCTGAGAGCTCTTAGATTTGCTTACGCAGGTTCACCTTCTTGGCTCTCGGTTTTACCTAAGCATCAGCTTCATGAAATGAGGAAGTCCCCCACTGGTAGCGGGTTTCTATAGCACAATTTCCACTTGCATAGACTGAGTTTTTTTTTTGTTTGCTTTTACTTTTGCTTTAGATTCACATTTTTCCACTGATTTTGCTTTTGTTTCTTTGCCCAGGCTTGCTTTAATTTACTTTCTTGTAGTATTTTGCTTTTTCTTTCTCTTTACTGCTGTCTGCAGTTTTTGCCTCGAACTCCTGACTTCTGTTCTTACTTTCTTCCTTTGCTTTGTCATGGAATCCTCCCTGCAAAGCAAGTTCCACCCCGCGGCAAAAACCAGAAGCACACTTCCTCCTCCTTCCCACTCATCACCTTCTCTCCCCTCTATCTTACGCTGGCCTAGGCAATCGCCAAAGGATCTACGTCACGTATCCATCCAATCCACCCACCTAATCCGCTCCCCTTGCCTCGAATCC